AGAGCAGGGCCACCCCAGGGCAGCGAGTCAAACTGGTAAGGTTCTGCCACCCTCCCTTTTTCCTTTTCTTTCGTTTCTTCCCTCAAAACTGCTGCTCACCTGAGTGCTCAAACACCTACATGATTTAGAATCTGAAATCCCCTTTTCTGTGAAAGCTTGTAGAGTCAATCTCATAACTTCACAGATCTTCAAATTCTGTCTGATACAGCAAATTACTGTATTAATAATACTAATAAAATACTTGCACTTTATATAAATATTTTTTCTTGAACTTTCAAGCCAAATTTACGTTTACTGCTCACAGTTTACTTAACCCAGTTAAACAAGGAGAGAATTGATCTCTTCATGCTGACAAAACACAGAAATTGTGAGACTGCTTCATTTTGGGGGGAGGTTGGTATACAGAAACTAATCTTTTCTTGCAATTGCTCTCACACTGATAATCATTGAAGTCTCTTCCTGGGAAGGATAAAGTTAATCATTCTGTGTAATTAGCCTATGAAAAAATGGATAGGCACTTAAGAGTTTTTCAATGAAATGTGCAGATAAAGATGGCTTTGAAAATACATGTAGCGCAGAGAGCGGGGGAGAGATTTTCATAAACTAATCAGACAGATGTTTATAAGAGAGATTTAAGTATCCTATGCAGGCAGCTATCCATAAGTGCCACCAGCATATCTACTCAGAGCTCTACAGATAGGAAAGGCTGGATGAAGCTATATGTGACACTCCTGAGGAGCCTTCCTGCTAATGAGCCATCTAAGTGCGGATTGTATCCAAATTGGGCTAGATTTTTACAAGTGTTTGTCCCAGGAAGATGAAGTGTGACTTAATCAGATTACGGCTTACCAGGAAGCATTTAGCAGTATAGAGGAAGTTAGTAGCAACTCCTTTATTATGTCCAACTTCAAGGATAGATAATGTGGATTTTCTCTCCAGCCTGCGCATAGTCTGCTGCTGGGAGACTGTGTCTTTTAAAAGATGACTTGTTTGGGCCTTTTAAAAGATCTAATATTAAAGTTTGCATTTCCTTTTAGAAAATTCTTTGATTCTATTTATAATTTCTAGAAACAATTGTTAGGTTCACAATGTATTTTGGGCTTTCTTCTGTTCCTCTAATGAGAGCAAATATAACATGCATCGTTAATGAAGATAACACTGCTTTTCTAGGTCTAGGAATCCCAGTGATGATTGAGCTCTTAAGACTAATAGGTGCCTCATATGGTGATACTGACTTTTTGTAATGATCGGATGTGAAAAATGCTAATATAATTTTCCTTTAAAAGAAAACTAAGTTCTGCAGCTGAACTGTATCTATTACTCCTATTGATTCCAATTGGCTTGACTCAATTTTATGTTTAACTATCTCCCTTGCAGTTAGTTTCTCAGCTTTTTGGATTTTTAATCCATCAGGTTTTATTTGGTTATAAATGACAACGCGTACTTGGCATTGTAAAAATAAGATGGCTGCATTTAAGAGCACCATGAGGAACTGCTGCACAGCTGGTTTTACTGCCTCGGCAGTTTCTTTTAATATAAAACACAAATTTTCTTGGGCAATGAACGTACAGCCATCGTATCCCATAACTGTCCAGTTTGCACAAGCCAAAAGTGCTATTCTGGCTTTACATGTTTGCTGTTCATATTTCCTCTAAGTCAGCTGTTAATAAAATGTCATCACATTTCATATTGGCTAGATCCCACAAGCGATTCAGTAGGTTAATCCTGCTTTGCTGTACCGGATAGAATATGTAATTATGATATATATCTTCACTATTTGACAGTTTTTTCCTTTTAAATATTGTTTCTTGATATCTTCGATTTTTCTATTGAAACTCAGGTGAGTGGCTATTTATTTGGAAAGTTTATACTTCGTGTTTCATGATCTTTTATTGCTTGAAGCAGAAACTGAGTTTTCCTTGAATTTTAAATTACTTGGTATGAGACAAATATCTAGAAAGGGATGTTATTTTTCATGAAACTTTCAAGGCCTCGGCTATCTGAGGAACAAATACATTTCCTGCTTTCTGGTTTGTTTGAATGTAATTTGGAATAAACATGCAAAGTATCTGTACAATTTCAACAGAAAGGCAATAGTATTCCAGGTTTGCTATTAAGTTAAGGATATCACTGCCTTACCAATTTTAAGAAAGGGGAATAATTATATTATTCCAAGCTGCAGGCTTGTAGAAATAAAAAGGCTCACAACTGGCTGTGTATTGCATTTTGAAACAGTTTGTCAGTATATTTTTACTTTACAAATTCAGTAAATATAATAATATATTGAATTTTTTTCTCTCTCTCTCTTTTTTTTTTCCAGACCTTTAATGAATTTGAGATAGAACAACACCAAGAATGTGCTTATGACCACTTGGAAGTGTTTGATGGAGAAACTGAAAAATCACCAATTCTGGGACGCTTATGTGGCAATAAGTTACCGGATCCTCTTATTGCTACTGGAAATAAAATGTTCCTCCGATTTATCTCTGATGCATCAGTTCAGAGAAAAGGCTTCCAAGCAACGCACTCTACAGGTCAGAAAATCAGGATGTGGTTTACTAATAATTTCCCCTTCCTCCTTTAGAAGGAACTGGCATGATTTATTAGACAACTTAATGTTGCAACTAAATGTTAACAAAACATCTTAAAAACAGTGGGAAAAGATTGAGATTGAAGAAAATATTCTCTTAAATTTAGGCATGCCTTTCTCTCCCTTTCGTTCACCCTCTTGCTCACTCGTTTGCTCTCAGACTTGACTTTATGGTAATTTTAATTTAAGACTTTGAAACAAGATGCAATAAAAGACTATGGCATAGGCACTATCAGACATATTTCTTAGAATGTGCTATTAGTTTATAGCGGATTCAATACTGTATTTATAACTTTCCTGGGGCAGGTCACCTTACCTCTTATTTGCCTGTTCTACCCTAAACGAAAGTCTGGGCTTCGTATAAACAGCTATTGCTTTCCTGTAGAGCTGAAAAGAAAAGACAAAACAAAAAGAATGAGAAAAACAATGCTTGAATGCTTAACCCCTTAAAAATATAGGCACTATCAGACATATTTCTTAGAATTTGTGCTATTAGTTTGTAGCAGATTCAATAGTGTATTTGTAACAGCAATACTTTCCTGGGGCAGGTCACCTTACCTCTTATTTGCCTCTTCTACCCTAAACAAAAGTCTGGGCTTCGTATAAACAGGTATCGCTTTCCTGTAGAGCTGAAAAGACAAATCAAAACAGAATGAGAAAAACAATGCTGAAGGCTTAACCCCTTAAAAATACAATATTCCTCAAATTTTCCATTTAATGTTGTGTGTTGCGGAAAACACTGATATTTTAAATATTGCCTTAATACATTTCTTGGGATTATTTTCCTGAGGTTGCTTGGTGCGTAGTGACCCCTAGTGCTTTATCTGTGAACCTCCAGCATCCCCTCCGGAGGGTTTTTCTTCTTGCATTTTCAGCTATAATAATGTCTTTGCATTATCCAATCCGTTTTTATTCAGAAAATAAATGGTTCTGGTGGATTTATAACTCTGTCTTCTAGTGCCCTAGGTATTCCTGTCAGGTAGCAGTTATTAGAAGAGAGATGCAAACTAATTAGTTGCTCTTCGTATACGTGCTGTAATGCTCAGCTAACAAGTTCTCATTACATTAACATAAACACACTTGTCTCTTTGTTCTTCCTTCTGCTTTGTTAAGAACAGTTCTAAAACTTCATTTATTTAGTTGCCCTTTCAGAGAAAAACAGTAGGCAACAGAATTTGAACATTTTTTTTTTGCTCTTTGTGTCTACAGCCTGAAAGTGAAAAGTGTTGTTTTCTCTCTCTTTTTTTAACCTGTCATTCAAATTATTTTTCTTCTTCAAGATCCTGTTTTGCAAAAATTGCACTATATTTCCTTCCCCTACCATGGCAATCCCTTCTAGATAGGAATGGTAATAGCTACTTATTTGTTTGTTATCATATGGTAAATTAAGGTCAGAAATCTTTTGGGGAAGAGGTGTCGTAAAATTGCTGTTTTATTTATTTTCTCAGTTTCAAATTTATATTACCTGACTACATTGTGACTTGCTGGAATTTGCCTCCTACATGCTTCTTTGCAGTTTTATATGCTTTAACTTTAAAAACTTTCTAAGTGTGTATAATGGTGTGTTTCTGACAAAAGTTGAAGACTGAAATCCATCCATTTTTTAAGAATGCTCAAAAAATATAAAAGTTTGCCCCTTTAAAATTGCATGTTTGCTTATATGGGCTGTTTTTGCACAAAGTGTTCATTAACTAGAAGCATGTGCTGGGAGAGGCACTGTGAAACACGACTTGAAAGAGACAGCTCAGAATTTGCAGCCTTGTCCTGTTGTGTCGAGCCAAACACAAACACTCAGCGGGAATTTTACCCCTATGCTTGTGAACAAGCACATTAATGAAGATATATGGGACAAGTGTTTAGTGCTGTAGTGTAGTGTATATTCTTATTTTCTCTTAACAAATGAGAAACAGTAAGCAATGGAAGGATTGCTTTTAATCCTCTTTTGTATATTATTTTAAAATATGAATTAGGGAGTCTATTTTGTCTGCTGAATCATCATCTTCCTGATTTAATGACCTCTTTTTCTAGTAGGTCCTACTGCTGATGTTGATTCCTCTTATGAGACAGTTTTTGGCTTAAGCTCCTAGCTTCAGAAATTCCAGATTTGAATGGCTTGAATGTTTCAGACCACAGGAAAAATCTGCAGTAGCAAAGGACCAATAAAGTTTCAAAAATAGAGTCCTTAGAAAGGCTTTCCTGGACAAAAGCAAAACCTATAAAACGCTATTTTTGAAGTGCTGCGCACTTTTGGAAAGTGTTTCTGTTATATTATCCCTGTCGGAAAAGGCACGGTCCATTTAGAAGGAATTTATAAAAGTACTTCCAAGAGAATATTTAAAATCGTTGCTCAGGGAGTGAGTCAGAGGCCTTCCCTTGAGACCCTCTCATCTCTGTGTCCAGCTTCAGCTGCAGATTTCCTGCTCTCCTACCTGCCGTATTCCTTGGAAGAAGGGAAGAGGAAAGGCAATTGCCATACAACTTAAATTGCCTATATCTGCTCATATGGCTGCACCATTTCTTTAAGCTTATATACATTGCAGCAAGCACAGGGGAGCCATGCACACAGTTCCTTAAACATTTTCCCCTTTAGCAGCTGTTCTGTGTCTGAAGCAGGGAGGACTTTTTAGTGCTGGCAACATTCCAGTTCAAAGTACAAAAAGGAACAGAAAGAATAACAAGGAAAAAAAAAATCAGTAAATGATTGTAACAATGAGGAATAAATCTGTGTGAAGAATCCCAATTTTCTCATATGCTCTTATCTGTTCCTCTAAAAGAAAGACTTTAAAACTTCCAACGGAGCAACAGACCATGCATAAATGGATTACTCCACTTAATTTTTTCCTGTTTATTTTCCTTAATTTCCTATTTATGTTTTTTTTCAAAAATACGTGTTTGCTCGCTATAATCACCAATGTCTACTTGAGATATGACTCCACACAATGTCACATTGCAGCTTCTCATGTGTAGTGCAGGTGGCCTCAGCACCGCTGCGCCGTTAGGCAGATTCTCTCTTCACCCAAACTTAGAAGCGTGTGAGTTTTGTAATTTACTTAAGATGATGATAAAATGATCAATATGCATTTTATCAAAATGTACATAACTTTTTTATTCATTCATAAAAGTAGTATAAAACCTTGTGAATGTCAGATTTTGGTTAAAGCTCATTTGTAGTTGCTGATTTACCTGCTGCTGGAAGAGGCGGCTTATGCTTAATGAGAAACAAAGGCCAAAACCAAATTATGCTATTCCTGTTGAAATCTTCATAGTTGTAAACACAGTAAGCCTCCACCCATCTTCTGGAAACATAAGATTACACTTTCTCTTTTGAGTCTAATTTTCCATCTGCCTTGCAGTAGCACTTTTAATTGGCAGGTGCAGAGCAGTTATTCATTTTAGTTACTGTAAAAGCTGAGGTCACTGAAAAATTGGAACGGAATACAAATAAATGGTAAGTACTGAAAATTTTAGAATGGAAAAACTGTATTCTTTGTTGTTCCCTGTTTTCAGTAGTTTCTGATCTCCAGCAAACTGGCTAAAGAATGGTTTCTTGGACCATACAGTATGTTCATTCATATTTAAATTATGAGCTTTTGGAGCAAATGCCAAGAAACTCTCAAGCAACACATTTTACTGATGGGTACAAGTAGAGATTTATAATGGAGACGTTGAGTTGGCATAGGGCAACAGTCTTCTCTTTAGGACTTTCCCCAGGGACAGGGCACTTTCTGGTAGCAGCGACCTTCTCCCAGCTGCCATCTTTTGCAGGGAAATTCCCATTTGTGCCCATGAGAGGGGTAGCAAAAGCGTTGGCAGGCTCAGAGTGGTGCCTCATGTCCAACTGTGTCTCCGTGCATGGCATGGATGGGAATGCGGATGATCCTTGGGCTGCTTTGAGTGCTCCTGCTGGCGGTTGCATCCCGCTCCGTGTGCTCAACCGAATGGTGTCGGGCACCCATGTGCAAAGGCCGGCGCTACCGAAATGCGGATGGATGCCCCACCTGCAGGATTTGCCTTGCTGAACTCAGATGGGACTCTGAAGAATTCCCCATCCTTTGAATTACTTGCTTACAACATTGGTGTTGCCTGTCTCTGTGTTTTGCAGGAAAATCATTTATAAAATATGCTCAAGTCTTTGAAATTATACAAAAAAAAAGGATGTATGTAGAGAAAACTTGGAATGATAGATTATCCTGAGCTTTGTCCATCATTTGGTCTCTCTCTCTCCTTTTTTTTTCTCCCTTTGTCTAGTTTTATTCATAATCAGGTTTTGTCATTTTGCGAGTGTCCTGTGCTCATCTTGAGCCCCTTTACTAGACAAACACTCCCAATGCAACAGTAAGTTTCTATTTAGAAGTTAGTCCAAAATATTGCCTAAAGCCTCTTAAAATATGGATTGGTTTCAGCCTTGTGTATTCCTACTGCTTCCTAGTACGCAGCCTTTGCTCATTTCACAAAGTAAAAATCCACTTAGCCTGAATCCGGCCAGGCCTCTACAGAAAGAAAGACTCATTTGCACTGAACAAGATTCTTAGTCTCTGTTTTTTCCTCTCTCTTTCTCCAGAATGTGGTGGTCGACTGAAAGCTGAAGCCAAGCCCAAAGACCTGTACTCTCACGCTCAGTTTGGTGACAACAACTACCCGGTCCAGGCAGACTGTGACTGGCTGCTGGTGGCAGAGCGTGGCGCTCGAGTGGAGTTGTCCTTTCAGACCTTTGAGGTCGAAGAGGAGGCAGACTGTGGTTATGACTATGTGGAGCTATTTGATGGTCATGATAAGTCAGCTATGAGACTTGGTCGCTTTTGTGGGTCTGGGGTAAGTAACCAAGTGCTAAAACTTACTTTTTTTCTTCTCCAATTAATGCTAAAATAATTTTTAAAAAGCCTCTGTGAGGGCTCTTATGGAGCTCCTAGGTAGGAGCTCTTAATTAACCACATGCCACTTTTTGGAGTCATTCAGTGTCTGCTGGATCAGACATACTATCATTCAGACTAGTTTAGGTGAAGCCAGCTTAAAAACTTTAGGGCACTTTTAGGATATTTAGGGGAAAAAAAGGAAGGGTGCTACAAAGAACTGTAGGCTACATTCAAAGAGAAATGCTACAACCGATGTCTCTCCTACTCTGCGAACAGCACAGTTTTTCTTTGCAACATGTCTGTTTTGCAAATAAGAATACAGCAGAAGAATACTCCCATGTTTCGTCTGTTTTGCAAATAAGAATACAGCAGGTTGGAGCAGTGATGCAACTTCTGGCTGACAATTTCTCTATATATTTTTTATCCATTTGATATGGGTTAATGAGTTGAGAAGAAAGCCCATAGTTTTTCTGTTTACTCCCATGTTTTGTATTAAAAGCAAAATGATCTGAGCTGAAAAAGAGCTCTTAAGTATGCATTACCACCTTTTCAACTTTGCATTTGGTAGTTCAACTTGCACTTCTTCATCAATGTGCAGCCTCAGTAATAAAACAGGCTATCACGAAGAATAATATATGATTACCCGAGTCCTCCGTGTGATTTAGAGTACTCTGTGCAGTCATGTCTGGTCACTTGCATGGCTGGAACAGGGCTATCAGTGAGATCTGGACTAGGAGGACTAAAAAGAAAGAAGTTTAGTTTTTCTCATAAATAGCAATGAAAAAGATATTCAAGAGATATTCAAAACAAACTGGAAAACTTAGACTGAGAAAGTATTGTGCAACATTTATTTATATTCCTCAAGGCCAGAACAGGCCAAGAGCTTGAGATCGAAAGAGTGATTGGGGATTTATAAACAAGTAAAAAGTTAGAATGAATTAGTTGAACACTTTGGCCAGCAGATAAAAATCCAAGCTTGATGATTTAAGCTAAAATCCAACTGAGGAATTTCAGTTGTAACTTCCTGAAAGCCCACCTAAAAATTTACCTTGGAGAATGCCTTCATCTTGTTAGCTTTAGCTTTTGCTTACGTCAAAGACAGGGTGTAAGTCCTAAATATCTATTATGTAAAGGTAATATGGACATTCTGGTGTGAAAATGGGTACATTCTCATTGTTCTTCTGGTCTGCATTATTTAGCAAAAAGCCAACGGTGCAAGTCTACAATTAAATTGAATGATGGCAGTATCCAGTGGAAGGGCTCAGTCAAGTATGAAAGGAAAGGAGAAGTATCCTGAAGCAACCTGAATTAGTAAGATGAAAAGTCATCTGTGTAGACAGATCTTTAATTTATCTGTTTATTCATTTATTTTAGCCGCCAGAAGAAATTTATTCAGCGGGGGAAAGACAGGGTGTAAGTCCTAAATATCTATTATGTAAAGGTAATATGGACATTCTGGTGTGGAAATGGGTACATTCTCATTGTTCTTCTAGTCTGCATTATTTAGCAAAAAGCCAACGGTGCAAGCCTGCAATTAGAGTTGAACGATGGCAGTATCCAGTGGCACAGTCAAGTATAAAAGGAAAGAAATATCCTGAAGCAACCTGAATTAGTGAGATGAAAAGACATCTGTGTGGACAGATCTTTAATTTATCTGTTTATTCATTTATTTTAGCCGCCAGAAGAAATTTATTCAGCGGGGGAAGCCATTTTATTCCACTTTCATACTGATGATACGATCAACAAGAAAGGATTTCATATACGATACAGAAGTATAAAATATCCAGATAGCTTGCACACCAAAAAATAGCACAAGAACCTCTATGCCAGAAAATGAGAGCGAGGAAGAAAGAACGCACAGCGGAAACAAGGAAGGCTTGCCTTTTTCTTTTTCTTTTTTTTTTCCCCTTTTTTTAATTAAAATTATTAGCACAAATGTTTTATGAGTTCGGTGGGAAGGTGGGAGGTGAAAATAAGCTTACCTATCCCAGTGGAATAGATATGATGCCAGTGTGCAAGCTCCAAACGTGACTGTCTCTGCAAAGCTTGTGAAAGGACTTTGCACGCTTCCAGGGAGAATACAAAAGCTTTTGTCCATGGCTTGACGCTTGTCAGGGATGTGCACAGATTCAATCAGTTAAATTTGGGGGACCTGCAGACTGTTCTTCCTTCTGACAATTGTATGGCATCTAGGAGAGAAAAATAATTTTTAAAAAAGGCTCTTTCAGGTCACACACTCAAAAAATACTATCTTTATATTTCATTCTGGTTGCTTTGATTGTGTAGCTTGGATGCAGTGTGTACAAAGATGTGGACGAAGATATAAAATGGGACGGTCTTCCTACATCGTTCTGTATTTTTTATGGATTCATCTGTCATATCAGGTTTATCAGTGTTTTGAAACTGGAAAATAGTATTTCTGAAACATAAATAATTTTAGAGCATTTTGTTTTCCTAACAGTTAAGTCTGAACTGTTACATTGGTCATTAGCTGAAGACTCTGAATTTAAGTAATGTAAGCATCTGAAAAGTATTAGGTTTACTGATTAAGTAAGCTATCTAGATGATGTGCTCTTATTTTGCACTGAACAAAGAAAGAGACTGAGATAAAAATCTGTATTCATGAGAAACAATCAAGAAGCATTTGAAACTCCTAGTGATTTTGTTTTCAGCAGTAATTTTGGAACCGCTACAAAGCTTTATTTCTTTGGACCTCTTTGAGTTAACTGTTTTAGCTAATCTGAAATGAAGCTACAGTAGTGTCCAAGAAGAGAGAAGTTTTCCAAAGAGTTGAGAGAACAGGAGCATTTGTTTTCTGGGAGTTAAGAGTGTTTGTGATGGGAGAAAAGAAAACAACAGAACAGACCCAGGATTTGTTATCAAGAGTGAATTCCTATGGTGCTATTCCGTGAACATTATAAACAAAAACAAACCAAGAAGTTTTCGATTTTTGAGCCAACATCTTGCAGATCATGAATGTCTCACTATGCCTGGCTGCATCTGAAGAACGAAGACCTACTGCTCCGGTGAAGAGCTCGTTGCGACGGCAGCGCTAGTCCTGTGGAACAACTACTATTATTGCCTTAGAAATCTCGCACACGATCGAACAGATCTTCCTGTAGATACTCCTTTAGTTTGATAATTAACTTGACGACTTGGACATTTTGGCATATGCTAACAAAAGGATCTTGGGGCAAGATCCTCATCTGCAGAGCAAGATCACCTGCTGTAAATAGTGACCTGCTTTTGTTGTAGAGATATGTTATGTTTAGAACGGAAATATTCTATGTGCTTTAGGCCATATGTGGCTTTAGTCCTATTGTATATGCATTCTGTAAGTATTGTATGAGTGGCTGCTTCAGGAGAGCGAGAGGTATTGTATGGGTGAAAACTGAATTGTTTCTTTATGTGCCAAGTTCTGTCAGGACCTTGTTTGACTGTAGCAACTTTTCTTTAAAGGATTCATGGACAGATACTGAGAACTTCAGTTGGCAAGAATCAAGTTAAAATGAAGTATTATGTTTAACTTACAAAAACATATTATTTTGGTGTCCTTTGATGTAAGTTGCTGCTCAGATTAGCTTAGTTTCTGTTACCTTACTATGAACATACATTGGCACTAATAAATCTGATTTTTTTTTTTTTTTTACAAAAATAAAACCCAAAAGTCTGTATAGATGTCATTGGCTGTGTTAGCACCTGCATTACTGTTAATATTTGCCTTTCCTGACAGCTTCTGTGTATAAAGCTCAAAAACTGAATCATTTTTATATTTTTATAACACTGCTCCACTATTCTTTTTGTTTGGTTCATTGTTCAGGGTATTTGCACAAGAAGTGAACAGCATGCATTTTCTCCAAGCCCTTTTACTGCTAAATCCTATCACAAAATCAGTGGTTAAAAAAAAAAAAAAAACACAAAGCCAAACCCACTCTTAACAATAATGCATCATTTATCAGGAGTGTTGGATTCCTGTGCTGCAATTTTGAGAGAAAAGCAAAAACAAGTAGCAGCAGCATCTCCCCAGCATTAGTAGTTAAAGGAAAGTCTGAGGATGGGAGCAAGAGTATGTTCCCATGCAATGTTTTTTACCTGTCTCTTAATATTATCTTCCTACCATTTGCTTAACAAACTATTTGTCTTCCTCTTCTCCATTTTTTTTTAATTCCCCTCAGGGTTTATTTTTATCAGACCGCAAGATTGAGCCAAGATTATTTTCTTTGGAAAACTTGTTTATTCTTACAGGCTCCTTTGTGTATAAATCTCACTGACCTATATAAAATAGTGCAACTGAGTAGCTGAAAAGGAAAGTTAGGCTGAGTATGGCCTAACTCCAGGATTCAGTGGAAGGTAATTGTTTGGGGTCATATCATGGTGCTATTAGAAGCTATTAAAAACATAGTTATTTCTAAATTCTGAAAGTATTTTTCTTGAAATAATGAAACTCATATTCAGTGAACTCCTATTTTAAGGGAATAGAGAGAACAAATCTCATACCACTAGCAGAAAAATATAAGAACAACTCAAAATATATTTATTTTGGTGAAACAGTTTAAAAATGTGGTTTCCCCTCCCAAAAAAGTCTTTGAGGTGGTTAAAATTGGTTCGCAGTGTGTTGTCCTAAGTTCTTACCCCTTGAATAGCCCAAAAAAAGACCTGAAATCTGACAGGTTTCACCTTTGAAACCTAATTGTGATATATTTCTTGGCAAAACTCCCATCTGAATCAGGACATTACTAATACATTATCGTTCTTATTTACCACAGCGTTCTTTGTGACCTTGGGTAAGCTACTGGATCCGAATGAATTTCTTTGTAACATGATGATAAATATTTTTTCTTAGTTATGTAAAGATCTGATGTGTGCCGGGTAGTATTCTAATAATGTTTTTAAATTCAGCATAAAAGTGTCAGGTTGTTGGAACATGCTGTCTACTGGACTTATTTTGCTGCCTGGCTCTTGAATTTGAACATACAGCAGACCAAATGCCTTGATCCAATAGTTTGCTTAGATAAGAGGGAAGATGTATTCATGAAGGGCTTTTCTTTCATCCATAAATGCAGCCACATGCATGTACAAATCATCAGAATAAGCCAGTAAAACAGGTGCTGTTCCTGGGAGCTGAAGGCACCACTGAGCTGAATAAAGCAAGGTAGTGCTTTATTAACAGGTAATTAACAGGTGTTTTGCTTGTGCAAAGTGCACGAAGGAGATAGTCTGCTCTTTGCTGGCCCTCTACTCTAAGCTGCTGCATATTTGAATAACCCTGAGCACAGGTAAGAGCCAGTTCACATCCCTAACATAATTAATATCTGTGTGTGCCTAATTGGAGGTAAACTTTATCCACCCAAAGAGACAGTCTTTGCAGATTTGCTGTGCTGCTTGAGATGCAAGTGGTACACCTAATTTTTTTATAATGGAGGACCAGCTGGGTGGTGCACTGCCATGCTCTGTGGTCCTTGCTGAGACATATAAGCCTTTCTTTGCCCACCACATGAACATTTAATTGCAAAATGTCGAGATCTCAAAGCTGGTTATGAACCTGGTAATAAGCAATTCCAAGGAAGTACTTGGACTTAAAATAGATCTGACCTGAAGGAATTTTTCCTTTCCCTCCAGGTCTTGTGGATTCTGAGTTCCCAATGGAACCAAGACGTAGCATTTGCAAAAATACTTAAAATACAGGGGGTATCAGGTGAATGGTGAACACTAGCAAGCCTTAGGTCTGTTTTGTTTCCACCTCTTAATTTCTCAGGCCAAGTCCTACCTGTCCTGTAGACAGCCTATGAGGTCCCATCCTAATTCTAGAGCAAGTGATCCCATATATAAGTAAGATTCCTCCCAATCCCCCATGAATCTTCAGATATTCCTCTTCTTTGATTGGGTCTCTTTGAAAGGATTATTTTCTGTATACGTTGATGGCATTGGAATGTGATAACTGCAATAAATAGCCTTATAGCTCCAAGCTAGACATTTCTGGCCAAGATTCAAAACAGGATCTTTGTGTGCAGCTGCTAATGACAGTTGCCAAAATGTCTTTACTAGATTCATCCTCTGAAGAGCCATGTGCATAGCTAATCATATGATTCTTTGAGACTTTTTAGGATAATAGTAATATGATTGCCTTTTTTGATTGATAGTGCCTGTGAATGATAATGATAGAAACTGTTTGCATTAGTAAAATCCTTAATTTTTACTTTATTCTTTAGGAAGACCATACTGAGATCACATTAGCCACTGAACTAATTAGTTATTTAAACATTCTTATTGCTGTTATGATAGAGTGAAGGCACAGAATAAAGGATCTGTGGGACATTTCTAGGTAGTCAAACTAGTGAATCAATTTTTGACACTTGCAGTGCAAACCTTCCTTGAGGGTACTGCATCATTGGCATAATATTAAAAAGATTAATGTTTTAGAGGAGATTAATAAGTCCTGTGGGTGTTTTTTGATAGTTTGACTTTGAGACATGAAAAAAAGTTTTAGTGTTACTCTGATTTCACAACTGGTTAAAGAATTAGCTGTTGAGTTACAGTGTTGAAAGGATTTCTTTTGTGTGTGTGTGTTATAAAGGAGGATCTTAATCTTAGGGAAATTTAGTGAGTGTCAAATGAACTTAGGGTGTGCTGACTTAATATAATGCCTATTAATGATGGGAAGGGAGGGGCAGCTCCCAATGTCATTTACAGAAAATCTGACTCATAAATATATGTATTACAAAGGCCATGTTGATCTATAGGTATAATGAAAGCTTTGCTGAGACTGTCTTACAATACTCTTATTCTCCTCTGAATTTGCCTGTAAAAAACATAGCTAAAGTTCAATGAAATCTTTGGGTCAAATGACACATACTAAGGCATGAAATACAAGGCATGAAATTCTTTTAACCAGTCA